TCTTCTTTCTATGGTTTATTTCCTTTCTTCTTTTCTCTTTTTCTTTTGAGGTTTTTTTTTTTTTTTTTGGTCAAATTTTTCTTCTTTTCTAAATAAACTAGAGATTTGCATATCTTAATTTTATATGGAGAATTTGTTTTTTGTCTTTTTTTTTTTTTAATTTTGGTCATGTGTATGGTTTTTAATTCATCGAGGCTTTTATGGGCCAAAATAATATTATAGGCTACATAACAGGGAGTAACCCTCCCCTTTGACTCACCTCCCTATCCTCACATAAGTGAAAAGACCAATCAGACCACCACTTAATTGGCTTGATCATGTGTATGTTGAATATGTATTTTGTAGATATTGATATTCCTTTTTCTTTTTTTTTTTTTTATAACTTAATAGTGCAGTGTATTTCTTCATTGAGAATTAGTAGATCAAACATAAGTAATCAATCTTTGAATAATCAAACTAGATAGAAAAAAATCTAGAGAATTTGTATGGCCAATCACTTTAGAAAAAAAAAAAAATCAAATACATGTTTCTTTCTTTCATTCAATTCAACTCTCTATTACACTTCGAATTAATCCTTATTTTAAAATTTTTAATTATCTTTTTTCTTTACAAAAGCTTAATAAAAGATTTATTTTTGAAAATTGGATTAAAAAAAGGTGCTCATTTCTCGATTTTTTCTCTAAAAATTTTCAATTTCTTAAACACATCACTGTCACTTGCCTCTTGGCGCCGATGGTCACTTGCCTCTTGGCGCCGATGATAATATATATATTATATTATTTGAGATGTTAAATACGTTTGGTGATTGAATTTTAAAAAATCAATTTTTTTGGTAGAAGCTACATACAATTAACAATTTATATTTTGGTAAATCTTTCACATTAAAGACATTTTGAAGTGACAAGTAACGTTGTAAATGAATTCTTAACAGGGTAGCCTTTTTTACTCTCTTCAAATTAGTGAAAACATTTGTAGTTGGAAGGATTTAAATTTGGGCTGGGGCCATTGCCTCTTTAACTATAAAAATGTTTGATGTCTTCATTCCTCGTTGGTTAACTTTTTAGTCTGGTGGTAAAGATTCCATTACTCAATTGCTCAGACCCGAGTTCAAAGCATGAACATCGGTTTTATATTTTAGTTAGTTTTTATTTTTTCATATGTAAACAATTTTAATTAATTTAAATGTATAAAATATAGTTTTAGCTACTTAGTATATATATACTTCCCACAATTTTCATGAATTACACAAAAAAATTCACAAAAAAATATACATTTCTTTTTTTAAGTTTTATTAGAATATATAAAAAATTCACATAATGTTAAAATATATAATAGTATGATAAGTTAGAATATAAGAGAAAAATATTAAGAAAATTAAAATTGCTTAATCATCAGGAAATCATCTATTTATTATAAGGAAGATATAAATCTCTTACTAAATTAAAATGATAATAGTTACAAATTAATTTAGTAATGAAAAAGAAAATAAAAAATATTATTTAAAATAAAACTATTTTCAGAGTTCAACATATAATAAGAAATAAATAATATTAAAAAATCATTATCTAAATTAGGTTTGTGCTGTTTTTTTAAGTTATTCAAGTTGACTTAATGGAGTATAAATGTTTAGGAAATTTTATCTCTTTAATTTAAATTTCTTTTTGAGTTTGATTTTATTTCAAATGCCTATTGTAAAGAAAATAACTAATATCTAATATTCTACTCATAATTCTGAGCACATCAGTATGGGTATAAATATATTGTTTAAATAAATTTTGTTATTAAATTATATTACTATTTATTTTGATTAAAATAATAAAAATTAAAATGTATTTTTACTCATTTAAAATTAAAGATATAAACTTTTAATTAATATATTTTATAAAATAAAAAAAAATAAAGGATTACTATTTCAAAAAGAGTAATAAAAATTCAAATTCGTTGAAAAAAAGAATATTATTATTCATTAAATTAAAAATATACTAAAAGGCAATCAAAAGTTTTGCAATATCTAATTTTCTATTTAACATACAACTACATCATTCCAATTGTTTCAAGATTTTTTCTTTACTAAAACAGAGTTCAAAATGACATAAATAAATGTTAATATGTAACTTAAAAATCAATACACATACAATAATATTGGTAATGGAAGATCCTTTCTCTAATATATATATATATATATTTCAATACACATACAATAATATTTGGTTTAATGGAAGATCCTTCTTCTAATATATATATATATATATATTTTTTTAAAAAATTAAAAAATTTCAAAGTTCTATTATTATTAATTTTAAAAAATTAAAATTTTAAAATTCTAATTATCTTATATCTTTTATAATTGTTTTAAAAATTTACATCCAAATTAAATAATAAAAAAATTAAATAAAAATATATATATATATATATTTTAAAAAATTAAAAAATTTCAAAGTTCTATATATTTAATTTAAAAAATTAAAATTTTAAAATTCTAATTATCTTTATATCTATTTTAAATTGTTTTAAAAAATTACATCCAATTAAATAATAAAAAAATTAAATAAAAATTCCATAAATTCCAAAAAAAGAATAAAATATTAAATAAAAAGAGAGTTCTTTAATACTTCATCATTTCATCTTTAATAAAAAAAATGAAAAATGAAAATGATAGCAAATATGCCCAAACAACCATTTTTTTCATTAATTCAAATTTTTATGGTTTTTTTTTTTGAATAAGAATACATTTGAATAAGGAAAAAGTTTTTATATGATATTAGTCAAATATAACAATGTGTAAATAGTCCAATTAAGTGTACACCATCATCTCCAAAAAAAAATAAAAAATAAAAAAAAATAAATGAAAGAGAAAGAATGCATTTTAAAAAATTTATTTTAATTTCATTGTATTTAACTAATAGAGTCTAATGATAAAGTGTTTATCCATATTTTAGAAAATTCAGAACATAATTAAATAAAAAATTTAAATTTCATTTTTAACACCTGCATTAAAATTTTCAATTCACTTTTAAAACGATATCACATGAGAACTTATAATTAAGAATATCAAAATCTATTAACTTAAAAAAAATATTGGACAATAATAATGTAAGATCAAATAATATATATATTCTCTAATTAAAAATGCATAAAAAATCTAATAACTAAAAGACATTTAAAAGGATAAATGGAATCTATTTTCTCCAATTAAAAGACAATAAAAAATACAACTAAAAGGATAAATGGTTTTTCCAATTAAAATACATAAAAAATCTAATTAAATGGATATATTAAAAATTCAAAATTAATTTAAGACTATTATAGAAAATCTCATCATTCCTCCTATTTCATTCCTCCTATTTCCTCATTTATACAGTGCAGACTATAGATAACTGGGAATAAAATATCTTATCACTTAATGCTAGCTAAGATATTATTTGTGTGACGAAAAAGAAAATGAAACGATGTAAAAGGCAGGCAGACAAACTTGTATCCTTTATTAGTGGAGTAGTTATAAATAATGGTTTGCTGATTAGGCTTTGGTAGTGGCTTTGGTGTTTTATCGAACTTTTGTATTGCTAAAAACTTGCAAGCCAAGTTGGGTAATGTTACAAATTGGATCTCTCTTTCATAATACTTGTCACATTTAAAATTTAACGTTTTTTAAGAAAATCATTAAATTCGTCAAAATTAAAATAAAAATTATCGAGTTAATTAACTATATTACCCTTAATTTAATATTAATTTTTCTAGAAAATCATTAAACTGAAGTAATAATTATTAATAATATACAATGGGTGAACACGAAAAAAATTATTTATTACTCATTAAAACCACAAATGTGACAGGTATTATGGAATGGAGGTAGTAGTCGTTTTGACCTCATTTTATAACCTTTAGCCCACCCCGGTGCGACTCACATCTATAAATAGTATTGTAAAATCTATTTATATATTACTACAAATAAGATTGTACAATCATTAGAGTCGTGGAATTCAGTAACTTGTAGATAAAGTAAATGTGTAGAACAAAAATGTAGAATATGTAAAATCACAAAATTGATAGGCATAACACAAACTTGTAGAAGCTGGGGAATGACGGTAGAAGTGGGGTCAAAACTTTGTTGTCAATTGGAGATTGTTAGTTCAGTTGTGGACTCCGTTATTTCTATGAAGTTTCATGTGGGAGATAGATGTTTGTTTTTGAATGGAAAGAAAGACCCAGACAAAGGAGCGGAGGGAAAACTAGCAACTATAAAATTATAAAGATGAAGATATAAGTTTAATTGAAGGATTGGTTTGCTTAAATCCGATTTATAATCTACTAAATAATAAAAATAAATTTTATTTTTAAAAATTATACCTTATTTTTTTTTTTCTTTTTTCAGTGTAAGGTTAAATATATATTCATTTTAATAAAAGAATCGTTTTCATAAGTAAATCAAGCACCTTAAAAATCAAAAACATTTACGCCTCTCCAAAAGAGGGTTAACATCTCCTCATAGTGATCAAATATGAAAGGAATCAAAGCATATGTATATAGGGAAGAAATATCTCTTTCAGACAAATATCTCTTTCACACTCCGCATGTCTCTTGATTGAATACAGAAAGGTCAGCACTAATTGGTCGGAAAGGAAAGGCGTGGATGATGATATTGCGTTAACAAATCAAGAACAAGTTACATGCGTCTCTGTTTACTGTAAGTAAATATATTATTCTTTTTATTTTTGTTTTCTTAGAGTGAAACGTTTAACATTTGTTTTCTTTTTATAAATAAATAATAAAATTATAATCGGTTAACTTTATTATTATAAAATAATATTTCATAATCGATTAACATTATATAAAAAGTATAAAGTCTATAATGGTTGATAGTTAACTTATCACGCAAGGTTTTAACTAGAAAAATTAAACAGTATAATGAGAGTACAGTCAATAGGCTACGTAACTAAATTATAAAAATAGGAATCCATTAAGTAGTATAAACTTTGAAAATATTAAACCAGAGAATAAAATAATAATTACTTTTTTTTATTATTATCTATAAGGATAGAATGCATGCTGCATCCTGCACCTGCTACTACTAAAATATTCTTGTAACTTTCATTATTTTATACTTTTGCTGAATCAAAATGGACACTTGCTTTTACTTTATTGTTTCTTATATAACTATGCTCTGTTTTGTATGAAGTCTTTCATCTTCTACTTCGAACAAGAGGATTGAAAATGGTGACTAGTCCTCGAATAGATTCTTTTGACCATCGAATAGAGCTTCTATCACCACCACCACTTGGGCAAGAAGCAGCGGTGACAAGTGTGCCGTCGTGGAGACTCAACCTGGATCAAGTTCAATTGCCGGAAAGACGTGTGGAATCTCAGTTTGGGATTCAATCTTTTTTGAAAAAACTCAGTAAGTTGCTTCTACTCGGGTAATTAGGCTAGCTATCAAATGCTTAATCTTTGACCGAGCATTACATACTTCGTAATGATTGAATAACGCTCGGTCAATTTTGAATAATTTCTCTATCAATTCTCAATTTTGAGTAAATTGTACATTGTGCGCAAATGAAACATTATTGCTTGATAATTTTTTTGTCCCTTTAAATTTACCTTGGCCAGAGAGAGAAAAACAAATTGCAGAATATTACAGAAGGCAGGAAAAGCTTCTAAAAGAATTCAATGAAGTGGACTCGTTTACAGAGTTGGGAATGGTGCCTGGGGCTTTGACTGACGGTGAAAGTAAGCAACTAGCCACAAGGGAGAAGTATGCGATATATGCATCAAATATTGCAAATTTAGTGCTCTTCATAGCAAAAATATATGCTTCGGTTGAGAGTAAATCGATGGCAGTAATAGCATCAACGGTGGACTCTCTGTTGGATCTATTATCTGGTTTTATTTTGTGGTTTACGGATTATGCTATGAGAAAGCCTAATCAATATCGCTATCCCATTGGCAAGCAGAGGATGCAACCTGTGGTAATTACTTAATTACTAATGTTCATTTCTTTATTAGCAGTTAATTATTTTTTGTTTTTTCACTTCCTCCTCAATCCTGTGACACCTTGTCACAGGTGGGTCCCTGCCTATCCACCCTTCGTGCATTAAACTCGGTCTGAATATCGACCCGATTAAAGAACCGGATGGATGGATCATTGGTTTAACCAGTGGATCTTAGTCAATTAGTAGGTTATAAAATATGAATAATTTATATTAATTAAATAATTACAATTTAATATAATTAAAAATATTATAGAACCGGTCCCGATCAATCGGGTATGTATAGGTCTATCGGTTTAAACACGGGTCAACCAATTCAATCTGATTCTCTTCTTTAAATGGTTAAAAAGTAAAACCGACCTTATTTTAAGACCGGTTTACCAGTTTTTTTGGTTAACCCGTCGGATCAGATTTAATAACTATGTGCGGGGCACTTTGAAGGATGTCTGGAATTAAATAGGATTGACTCTAATTAGACTTACGGAAACATGGTCTATATATCTATATATGGATCAAACCAATCATAATATAAGAATTCTTAAAAATGACTCTAATTTTTCATTTTGTCATGGAATCAAATTCCTCTTTCTCAAAAACCAATCTATTGGAATATGCAGCGGCCATCGTTATAAGCTTAAGATTTCATCTAACCCATCCAACGTGGACATTTTGCAGGGAATAGTGGTTTTCGCATCAGTAATGGCAACTCTTGGATTGCAGATATTATTTGAATCAGGAAGAGAACTCATCACTAAGGTATATATATTGACTAACTTTTACACAAAAACAAGAAAATGATTAATTTTTCACAAAGTAATTAATTGGTTAATGACATAATTATGTTAATAAATTATATATGCAGGTTCAGCCAGAAAGAGATCTTAGCAAAGTAAAATGGATGATTGGGATTATGATTTCGGTTACAGTAATTAAATTTGTACTGATGGTTTACTGTCGCAGATTCCAAAATGAAATCGTTAGAGCATATGCTCAAGATCATCTTTTTGATGTGGTTACCAATTCAATAGGTCTAGCCACTGCTGTTTTAGCTATTAAATTCTACTGGTGGCTTGATCCTCTTGGAGCCATACTGGTGAGTATATATATAAATATTTAAAAAATACTGCGTATTTTCACAATTTTTCAGTGAATTTCTTTTATAATAGAAAAATGATTTTGTTTTATTCCTAAAATCAATAATTGATACCAATGTATTATTCGATTAAAGATAAGACTTGCCTAGAATTACTTTATTTCTAAAAATAAATATTGTTAATAATGGTGCAGATAGCTTTATACACGATCAGCAATTGGTCGAGTACGGTTATGGAAAATGTTTGGTCATTAATTGGAAAGACAGCTCCGCCGGAGTATTTAGCGAAGCTAACATATTTGATTTGGAATCATCATGAAGAGATAAAACATATAGACACCATTAGGGCATATACATTTGGTTGCAACTATTTCGTAGAAGCAGACATTGTGCTGCCAGAAGATATGTCTCTAAGTCAAGCACATAACATTGGAGAGACACTTCAAGAGAAGCTTGAATTACTTCCTGAGGTTGAACGAGCTTTTGTTCATGTCGATTTCGAATATACTCATCAGCCAGAACACAAGCCCAAGCGAACATGATCATCATTTTCTACTTTAAATTTCACATTCAAGTAATAACAAAATATTTCCATTGCCAGAGGCATGTTTTATATTGTAATATTCTATTTCTGGTATCAAATCACCGAGTAAAATGTTCTTTAGTTTGCTTAGTTAATATAATATAATATAAAAGAATTGGAGGGAATATAATATATGAACAAAAAGAAATCATAGATAGAACGAGCACATGACCTGCGCCCGTTAATTATCATAAATTATATATTTATAAATATAATTTTAAAATTGTATTTATAAATAAATTGAATTCCAAGTAGAATTCATTTGCAAATTTGGTATGCTACAATTTAAAATAAGGAATTCAATTGAATTCCATAAAATTATTTTTGAAATAAATTCTTAAATGAAAATTCATTTGTTTTTATTTCTTATAACACCATTGACATAATAATTTAACAAAAATAGTTCGACATAGTAATTAAATAAAACTCAATAATACTTGATAAAAATTCCATAATAAAAAAATCATTTGTTTATTTCTTATAACACACTTGAATAATAATTTAACAATAAATAGTTCGACATTAGTAATTAAATAAAAATCAATAATACTTTGATTAAAAATTCCATAATCAATCAGAATTACTGAAAGAATAAAATAAGATTAAGAGTTTAGATATAAAAAACTGTACCGTCAACAATTATTCTGGACGGCTTCCTTGATCTTTGTACAAATCTTGAACATTGAAGTTCTTGGAGAAGTCTTGGAGAGAGAGAAGAACAATAGAACAAAGATTATTAAAACTGGGGATATCTTTACAATGAATGGCTCCTCTCTTTATATAGATTTCCTAGGAGAAAATCCGACTTCGTTTACTAAATAGAGTCCTCATTAAGTAAGAAATCTTTTAAAAAATAAGAGACTGTTTAGGCTGAATTTCTTCTCAATTAGGACTCTTTTACGCACCAAAATAGGATTAGAACTTGATTTGCACGTCAGGAAAGTATCTCAGGTGGCCCCATGTAAGTGATAGAGACTGGCTGGTGTTTTCGACTTAAAACAACACTTGATTTATCGCACGGGCGTGCTGTGAGGCACGGTTTGGGCATGTAGAAACTTGATTCTACGGAGGGTTCAGAACGGGCCATGCTCAGGGGCACGGCTAGATAAGGATTTGTGGCACGGGCGTGCTAGCCTATGACATTCAAGCAATTCTTAACCTTTTTGGAGCACGGGAGTGCTGCCTATCACGGTTGGGGTGTGCTAGACTCTGACTTGCAAGAGAAAAGTTTGTCTTCCCTAGCAACGACGCCAAACAATTGACAGTGATTTTTCGCAAGTATATGAAAATCGCAACAAGTAATATAGAATGAGTAGAGTATCGTTTCCACAGGGATTGTATACCAAGTACCAAAATTGTTACCAAAATTATGTTAACCTATTATTATTTAAAACGCGTAATAAGCGGGAATTATTTTAGAAACTAAAATTTAACAATAAAAGTAAGAAAAATAAATTCTTAAAAGAAAACAGAAATAAATCAAGCAACAATATTCAGATGAAAAGAAATCAAGGATTTTAAAACTACTAGGGATTTTGATTTCGCTTAACTCTATCCAATTTATTTTATTAGTTTGTTAATCAAGTTTAATTGTTCAAGTAGGGGAAACAACCCAAAAAGCACTAACAAGCTCTCCCGATGTATTGTTAGCTATTCTAACCCGATCTAATTAGCGCAATCAAACATGAATTAAATCATTAAGTTTTGTGGTTTGTTTTGTGAATTCATAAACCTAAGGTCATTAACTTATGAAAACCCTCGATGAGGCAAACCATATAGCTTTCGCATCAAGTTATTATTCTCATGTAATTTACTACCCTATTAATATCAAAAACCCTTCTCCCGATAGTGATTAATGAAATAAAGTGATTAATGAAATAAATCAATCCAGGGGAGAAACTCTGCTTGGAAGCATTAAGTTTAATAATAAATTATACTTTGCACAAAGAAAAACAAATCTAATATTATAAATTGGAAAAAAATTAAGCTACATCAAATCCCTAGTATGAGGGTTTAGTTCGACATAGTAATTAAATAAAACTCAATAATACTTGATAAAAATTTCATAATCAATCAGAAGAATGAAAGAATAAAACAAGATTAAGAGTCTAGAGATAAAAACTAGTCACCAATTAATTCTGGATGGCTTCCTTGAATCTTGGCACAAATCTTGAACACTTGAAGTCTTGGAGAGAGAGAAGAACAATAGAACAAAGATTATTAAAACTGGACAATAGAACAAAGATTATTAAAACTGGAGATATCTCTACAATGAATGGCTCCTCTCTTTATATAGACTTCTTGGGAGAAAATCCGACTTCGATTAGGAAATAGAGTCCTCATTAAGTAAGAAATATTTTTGGAAATAGGAAATTGTTTAGGCTTTGAATTTCTTCTCAATTAGGACTCTTCCATGCGCCTAAATAAGATTAGAACTTGATTTGCACGTCAGGAAAGTATCTCAGGTGGGCCCATGTAAGTGATGGGGACTGGCTAGCATTTTCGACTTAAAACATCACTTGATTTATAGCGCGGGCATGTTGTGAGGCACGGTTTGGGCGTGCCGAAACTTGATTCTATGGAGGGTTCAGCACGGGCCGTGCTCAGGGGCACGCCTAGATAAGGACTTGTGGCACGGGCATGCCACATATCACGGCTAGCGTTACCTTCAACCTTAGATCGGATTCATAATGTCTTTCACGTATCAATGTTAAGGAAATACAGATCAGACCCATCACACGTGTTATCAGTAGAAGTAGAAGAGATTGAGATTCAGCCAGATCTCACTTATGAAGAAGAACCGGTTCAGATCCTAGCCAGAGAAATTAAAGAATTACGAAACAAGAAAATAACATTGGTAAAAGTTCTTTGGAGGAATCATAAAACAGAAGAAGCAACTTGGGAATCTGAAGAAACCATGTGACAACAGTATCTGAAATTGTTCACAACAGGTAAACTTAGGGACGAAGTTTTCGTTTATTTAGGACAGGAGAACTGTGACATCCTACTGAATTGAGTCGTTGCATAGAGTCGAGTTGAGTCGGGTTGAACCAAAACCTGGTTCGAGCCATTAGAGTTTAGAGTGGGGTAGTATGGGATGTACAATAATAATGAAAAGAAGTGGACTTACTTGAATGAAGCAAAAAGATCAAAGTATATGAAAGCAAAAAGATCAAGTATAAGGATTAGGAACTACTTGGCACTAAAATATAAAGCTTTAGTATTAAAGTTGTATAGCCTTATGGACAATTAGTCGGTACCATTTGGTAATTTTAACAGCATTACAATCAACTGATATTTTGCCGCCTACCCTGAAAGATTCCAATTTCACTTTCCCTGATCTTCATCTTTATCTTCATCTCCTTCATCTACTTTTACTCTTCCACCTTCCTTTCTCCATCCATTGTAATGGTAAGTTTAAGCATTGAAATTTCAACCTCTATTCTATCCAAGTAAGGTAGGAATTTCTTGAAAGCTCTATTTTTATTCAAGAACCTCTTAATTTAGTGATATTTTAGAGTATTCATAAGAGTTCTTGATGTATAGGAGAGGGTGAGCCAAAGGCGAAGGAAAGTGAAGCTAAGAAGAAGATTTCAAAGCTTTAGAGTGAAGGTTTATATTCTCCTTTTAATTTAACACTTTCCTTGTATGAGAACTGTGTGTGGTGTGTTGATAATGAGAAAATATATTGCTTAATGTTGAGTAAGAGCACTAGAAATGGTGAGAAAAGCATGGGATGAAATGAATAAATGAAAGTAGATATTTGAGTTTCCATACTGAAACAGGTTTGCTGGAGAATTCACCAGTAAATTCACCTTGATTTTGAACCAGGGTTAATGATGGAATTTAGGAAGTAATAGAAGAGTTATTGTTCCTCTATGGTGTTAGCTGTTCCATTCGAGTTTTTGTAGATCACCTAAATCGGATTATAGAAATAAATTGAGAGATATGACCAAAATAGTACACACTGTGCAGGCTGGAAAACACGACTTGCGCTAGCGAATTTCATGGTCGCGCTCGCGAATTGTGCCTGTAAACTCTCTGACTCTCTTGTGTGCTTCTTGCACTCGCGAATTTCATGTCGCGCTCGCGATTGTGCCTGTAAACTCTCTGACTCTCTTGTGTGCTTCTCGCGCTCGCGAATTTTAATGTCGTGCTCACGACTTGTGTTCTGATGCCTTTTGGACCTCTTTTTCTATGCAATTGTATTCCTTTCCTCAAATTGTATTCCTACAATCATTTTAAAACAAAAAGACAACACGAGAAAATGTATAAAAATAAAATGCAATCATGCAAATGATGTGAAATTAACATAACACAAGTTGCTTAAACATAACACAAGTTGCCGCTTTGCGAGAGCTAATAATCGGTATTACAGGCAAACAGCCATGGTTTATGGAATTTGCTGAAGCAGTTAATATGCTTTTGTGTTAATACTATTGACATACCATTAATATTGCTCCTATTGAGGTAGTAAAAACCACGAGTAAGATAAGGCGTATGGTTACAGTATAGGATAGCAGATCTGCGCAACCATACCAGTGGGTACAATCCGACTGCAGGCGTTGATGTGGATATGATATATTATGGGCCATAGCAGCCCAGTCAATACAATATTCATTCCAGTTTCATACAGTTCCTCTTATCACTTTGGTTTCACTATAACCTTATAGAGCCATACAGTTATATTGACTAAAAATTGCATAAGTCATCCAGCATAATGCACTGCAAGTACAATAATGGAAGTATCATGATATGTGTGCTTAGATGTTTCGTTATACATACATGTGTGTTTACATGTTTATTTATACATATGTGTGTGCTTACATGTTTCTTTATACGTTGATATATCCATTGAGTTTATTGCTCAGCGCGTTACTTATTTAACTCATAGGTTTTGGGACTGGACCGTAGAGAGTTATCTTACAACTGCTGTAGTTCATCTTTGGAAGACCCAGTCTTCAGGGTAGCTACTCATTTTAGACCCAGTCTTCAGAGAGGGAGCTACTCATTTTTTGATATTTGGATTCATGCTTTCCTTATCGATGGCAATGTACAGGGCTAACACAGTTGGGCCCATT